GCTGCTTGAACTTGAATGACTAAGACGGAGGGGGCTGAGCTCTTTCTCGAAGAGCTCCAGCTCTACCCCACCCCAAACTGGCCGCAAACTAATTACAATTTTCTTACATTGCAAGGGAAGCGAGTAAATTCTTCTTTCGGCTACCCTTACCTTTTAAAGAAACTAACTTGAAAGACTCCTACGTGTGACTTTAGTGAAGGGGAAGAAAAAAAAAAATAAATTACGAAATTGCCTCGTCTACTCCTGCCAAATGTCCACGGCCGCCCCACACCCCGCTCAGGGGCCGCTCCCGGGGCTGTGTCGTCCCCCCCCCCCCCCCCTTAGCGTTTTTGAAAGGGGGAAAAAAAAGTGTATGCTGGGAACTTCATGCCTCCCGTATGTCTTCCCACTACAGTAGCAGACCCACTGTGTTAAAAACAAGGCGATACGCTTGTTCTCAGTATTTTAAATTCGCTTTTATGCTTTGAGTCCACAGGTTGCTTTTCTTGTTAAAAGCATTTCCTTTCTTACCACCTTAAACCTAGGCTTTCTGGATACTTTGAGAGACCTGTTTGTTTAATCATATTTGGTAGCTTTGTAGAATATAATAAAACCATAAATTATTTATACAGTTTCAAGTTGTTGGGATTCTTAGCATGATATACTGAATTTTGAGATTTCGAGTTAGGATTCTTGTTTGCGGATGTATTCCTCCTCTCTAAAAGAAGTTTGGGAAGTTGTTGACCTCAGAAGATGAAAGAGCTGGTTATAGTTGGTAGAATAACTCCCCGCCCTCTCCCGAGACTGTAAAAATGAGATAGTGACTGTAGTACAACAAAAAATAGCATATCGAGAAAATGCTACCTTCTGAAATAAATGATAGAGGAGTAAAAAAAAAAAAACCAACCTCACCCCAGTGAAGAATACTGAAAGATGGACTGTGGGAAGTGAGATGAACGATTCTATTTTTATTTTCAAGACTTTTGGTGAAGTTCGAATTTATATTGGAGCAAATACGGATGTGAAAAGTAAAACACATGTTCTTGGTCACCACAGCAAACAACCTCTTCAGGATAGTTAGATTTACAATAAACATCAAGAAGAAACTTGACTGAGAAGATGCCTTTTTAGCACAAATGACCGTCCCAGAGGCTTGATGTCGGATTTTGAAATTCCTGAATCTCTTCAACTTAATGTATTTGGCCAGAGGAGGCCCAAAACTTTTGGGTTTTTGGTCAGAGAACAAAAGAAAGAAAAATATTTCCCCACTGAAAGAGGAATGTCTGAAATCCTTACATCTTTTGATACATTTTTTTAATATGGAAAGCTCTGGAAATCTATTTTGCGAAGTACTGGAGTTCCAAAATGAGGGTTGTGGAGGCTCTTGCTGAAAAAGTTTAAGGATTGGTTTGGACCTATTCTTCACACTTCTGTTTAAAAGAAAAAGAAATAAAATACAATCTGTGTTTCTAAGTAGTCTCAGGAAGAAGTCTGCTATCCCTTTAAGCTTTTCTGCTTTTCCTGTTTACGTTGGCAATTGGGTGGAAGTATTGTGGAGGCAGAAAACTTTTTGGAATGTTGAAAAAAATGTTTCATGCAAATCTAGTAAATTGCTTCAAGACTTCAAAATTTGAACACTAAGGGGCGCCAGTTATTTTTTTTCTGAGGCCTGAGACTGGCCTCTGAACACCATTTCTGACTTGAGTGGTGAAATTAACAAATCTGTTAAAGGCACCGGCGAATGACAAAACACTTGTGGATTTGTGCAGGTATCTACATTTGCATGGACTTACGTGTATGGTATGCTTACACAGTATTACATAGGTGGAATAGTCAGTAGCAATGAACAGTTGAGAAGTTAGAACAACTGTTGTTCTGTAAAACACCCATCTTGGTTACCAAAGGGGCACCGCGTTAAGTATCTTTAACTGTATGCCACACTGACATCCTCCAGAAGGGTTTAGCAATAGCAAACTGTAGGTTTCCCAGGAAGGCCTGGAAGATTTAGGACGCTTACTTAAAAGTATGATATTTAATAGTTTCAGTCAGTTGTTTCATGGTACTTTTGAGAATACCAAATATTAGGGGCAGGTGTGTGTATATATAGATTTATATACATAATCTAAAAATAAAGTTACAGTGTTCATGTTCCCTCTCTGCCCCCTCCCCCCTGCAATTTGGTTTACTGCTTCTATTTTATTGTTTTGTGCTTTAGGTAGGTGGCTTTTTTTTTTTCCTTTTAGTTACTATACAACCATTTTCCTTAAGGTTTTGTTATGCTTGAGGAGAATAATATTATGATCAGCCTTTGCCTTTATTTTTTGCTGGTCATATTGAAGAAATAAAGTCACAACCCTAAGGATTAAAACAAATAAAACACAGGATAGGATTGCCTTTTCTACTGGAATGCTAGGGTTTGTTTTTATTTACTTATTTTTACATGCCAGTATTTAAAAACAAAACTCAAATGGGCTTGTGTTGTGATTACTTCTTGTAACTGTATGCAACAAGAGATAGAAATGGACCTGTCGGTTTAGGCGAGGAACAGTACATCTAATCTGGTTAGGTTTCAGAACCTACATCTACTTTTTTGGGCCCATTTCTGTGCTGTATGTATTAACCAAACCACATTTTCCTTTCTGAACTCTATCTTAGTGGGTGATCTTTGAAAATTTTAGTGTTTAACTTAGTAGATGGTCCCTGCCTTACTGCATTTGGTTTTGAAGAACATCTTAAATGTGAGGGATATATGGAGGAAACTTTTTTTTAAAAGAACTACTTTTATTATAAAATATGAAAGTCACAGTTTTGTTTAGGTTACAGATATGTTTGCATGTGTGTGCTTTCAACTTCTTATGTGTAAATAAGGCTTTTGTGGATTAACAAGGATGTTTAAAGTGCACATCATAATAACTAGGAAGCTGGATTGTTTTTATCAGACTAGTGCAAACCTGTGGGAAGAGAGGGCTCTTCCTGAATGTGGAATAGGCTGTATTTCCTGTAATTGTTTGCACCATCAAACGTGACCTGATTTTTTTTTTTTTTTTTTTTTTGTGTGTGTGTGTGTGTGCTTCAGGTCCTCAGATACTAACATTTATGATTCTAACCTAGACTGTTTCTTCTGACAACTCTTATATTTTAATGGTCCCCTTTGTGGAAAATGAATAAAGTTGTACCCTTTTTCTTGCACTACTTTTTTTTAATAAATTGGAGATTTCAAACTCCGCAATTGCACTCTGACCTATTGAAATTAACAAGGTATTTTGGTTTTATTCTTTCAGCAGACTGTGAACAAATATGCCTAAACTATTAACTGAGATCTGAGTAATGTAATTTTTGTATTTGCATCTTGTTTTCTTGAACCTGTAAGTAAGTGGTCAGAGTGTTGTACCTGATCAGAATGTACATGAACTTTTTGTAAAAAGATAATGACACAGACTTTATCAGAAATTCATTTTTCCTATGTAAACTATACCTCAAAAGCTTCTCTCTTCTTGTCAAACTTGTGTTGAAGGTGACTTAAAAGTGCGTCTACCTTTAAATGTAAATTAAATCATGCATCTTGCTTTTGGAGATAAACCTAGTTTCTTGTCAAATAGTTTGCCTCTTTCTGACTAGCAGTTATAACAAAGCTAGCTGTAAAAACATCTAGGTAGGGATTAAGGAGGATAAGTTTTTCTTGGGTATTGCTTTCTCTGTTTACTGTGCTCACTGAGAAAAGCGCATGTGAGCTTGCAGAGCCCAAACCTGCAGTTTTCGTGTCAGTCTCGTTGTCTTAACCAAAATGTCTGCATGAGTTAGAACTGAAGAACTGTGTTCTGGTGGTGTAAATAAGTTCTCCCCGAGAAGCTATCTGGTTACTTTTGTACGTGACCTTATTTTTTGTGATTATGTAAATGTAGCCAGTGCTTAGCTAGGGTTTTGCTGACTTGTCAGATTTGATGAAGGGGCACTGGCCACATTAGCATGTCTGTTTTTCAGTTGTATCAGATCTTGCAATAAACCCACATTATTTCATTACAAACCATGCCTCTTAATGCAAAGCTGAGCGATGAATATTCTTTAGGATAAAGGCTTTATGATAGATGTTTGCCCAGAATGTTTCAGACTAATTTTTAAACTCTGAGTTATAATGTTAAAATTGTACAGAACGGCATGCGACGAGCATTGAGTGTTGTTTGTGCACAGTTTATTAATAGTGCTCTTTTGAATCTGGTTCTTTAATCATCTCTAAATCTGAAGATAATGGTCTGAGGCATTTTTCTGATTATGACTGTCTCGCAATAATGAGGTTGCAAAGCTTCTAGAACTTGTGTGTTCAAAAACTTCCTAAGAGTTGTTCTGAGGTGTGGGGATTTTTGTTATTCCTTGGCAGCCTCTTACAACATCAAAACAAAAGCTCCATTGCCCTTAAGAAAAAGTTAATTTTTTTTTATCTTGGGGAAAAATACTCAAAACTCCCTCCTCCCTTGCAACAGTTCAGTTCTTTTTAAAAGAAGGTATTTTTGGAGCTGTATCTGCAACATTTATAGGATTGCAGTCACCTGGTGTGTAACTTGAAGATATGGGTGTTGTTTCGACTGATAAATTTTGAAGTTAGTAAAGCAGTTCTTCTAAACTCATGTTTTGAAAGCAGTTTGTTTGCTGTTGCTTACCAATAATTGATTATTAAAATGTTTGTCAGCAGAGGTTGGTTTTTTTTTTAAGTAAGAGTAACCGTAGTAGGGTTAGTTCTGTACAAGAGATGCTGACTTAGTTGTCTTGAAATTGGGAGAGATCTGTTTGAATTTTTTATTGTTTCTGTTTAGTGTTACTTGTTCCTTAAGGTTGGAATTGAGTTGCATTTTCCTCATCTGAAATTGTATGCAATAGTTTCCAAAGGAACTAGTGTCGTATAAAAATCACTTGCTATGGTTAGAAACAACTGACCAAGTGCCGATTAGATTAGGGAGTGGCACATGATGCTTTCATAACGCACAAGGGAAAAAATGAAGGTATGTTGATTCATATTAAAGTGGAGGAAAAAAAAACCCAACAACTGAGAAACACAGATTTTAAGAGAGCACTTAGAATGTCTTAATTAGGAAAACAAAGTTTACGTGAATCAAAAGAGAAAAGGACGTGTCAGAAAAAAGTTGCTGATATTCGATAAGCCCTCTGCATGTGACGAGAAGGCTGGACACAAAATTAATGGTTAGTTTTGTTGTTCAGTAACTTTTTTGACCAAGTCACCTGTTTCAGTCCTTCTTAAATTAAAAGTTTTCTTCCTCTTAGTACACTAAACAATGCCAAATCAGGAATGGGATACTTAGGATGATTTGAATTGTGTAGGCTTCAGTAGAAAAACAAGTACAACTGAATTGTCTTTAATTACTGTCTGTAACCTTAAAATGCTCTCCTTTTTTCAAGAATGCATACTGATGCAGATATCCTATTAATTAGATGTATTATTAGATGCTGATCTGGTATATATTCCGCGGCTGACAGGATAGCCCTGTGTTAACGTTAATTACCAGGCCATCCTGACAGCTCAGGCTGATTGAAGTACAGCAGGAGTCTGCCATGGAGACCGATTGGTTTATATTCGACTGCTTATATGGAATGTTGGGGCGCGGGAGAGGGGGGAGATAAGGGAAATGCCTTGCCAGGAAAGCTGTGAAGTAATGAAATGCCTTCACTCACTGACCCTTGTCTTTATTGAAACATAACTCTCAACTTCTCATTTGGGCTGTGTGAGTTTTTCTGTGTTGATTTTGATCAAAATGCATACTATGAAAATCTTATGTTGATTTTGACATTTCATTGAAATTTAATCACCCAATGCTAAGAAAAACTAGTAGGAACAGTAAAACCACCAGTGTTTTTAATCTCATTTGTGCTTAAAGCAATCAGGTCGGTAGAAGCACCACGTAAGATACGTCTGTGGCTTTGTAGCAGGAGGATCTACATCTGCGAAGGACATTGGAGGTGCTGTTTGAATGCTGAAACGGATGATAGGTGTAATGTTTATCATCTGAATTAGATCCCTTTGCTCTGGTGGGACAAAGAGTTGGGTTGCTGAAAGTTAAGTAACATTACAGTTACACTTTTGACTTGAGAAAATATCCCGTGTTACCTTGTGTAGTGCAGTTAAAGTAATTTCCGGGTTTGGGTTTCTTTTGGTTGTTTTTCTTGGAAGCATGTATTAGAAGTGGAGTTAGCTTTTTAATAGCAGAGCTTAGATTTTCGAGACGATTTATGCTTGAATGAGCAAAGCAACCATGACAACTTTTAAAGAGAAAGAATATCCAGCTTCATTAGCAGAGCTGCCCCTCCACGGTCTCATTGTTGTTCCCATTAGAGAGGTGTCTGTTGCAGGCTGGTTGGGTGTCTGAGAGCAACAGCAACAAGATGGTGCAAGTTGAAGCGCTTCTATTTGGGCAGTTGTGCTACTAAACCAATCTGGCTCTGGTACTAGAAGTCGCTGTTTTTTTGATACTCTGCAGGTATTTTAGCAGGTGTTAGTGATTGGAACGAGTGTGGTAATGCTAACAGGTTTTTAAATTTTGTTCTCGTGGTTTAAAATACTGAGTAAAAATTGAAAACATATTTTCAGTTACTTTTCTTTTGAGGATTGATTTTTTTTTTTTATACTCGGGGTCAAAATAGTAAATTTTGCTTCTCGGTTCATTGCAAAAAATCATTTTCTTGAAGGGAGATGGCAATAGGTAGCTATTAATGGGCGTTCTTTTAGCATTTTGCTGGTGTATAGTTGATTGAATAGCACACTGGAAGTTAATTTTTTTAATTGTTTTTAAAATATTTTTGACTGTTTTGCAGCTGCACCTGGATACTTGTACTTTACTCCATACTGCAGTGCGTTAGAGAAGATGTGTTTCCAGCACAGGGTGTACCAGAGCAATGCTTCGATACTTTGTAACTGCATTGCAAGGCTGCAGGAAGCCCAGGGGTGAGAAGGTCCTAAGGGATGCCCCTTTTTAAAGGGGATAAAACATGGAGCTGTTTGTGGGATAATGGGCTGACATCTGAGCGTATTAATAGTGGAACAGTTAACACTTTTAATGGCATATAACCTTATAAATGTTTATGCTTCTTTAAGACTTGATTTGAAAAGGGGAAAAAAACCCCAGCATGACAAGCAATTAAAGTTACTTTGCTGGGAAGTTATGTTGACTTAGTTCTGAGGGGTGATGCCTCGGAACGGCTGCTGATGTCAGAGCAGAAGAGGCAGGAGCAGATAATGCAGTGTTTTATATCCTTATCTGGTGATCAGTTTCTGGCTTAAAAAGTCAGCTGATACTCTGGACTGGTCAGGGGTTTTTTGAGTTTGTTTTTGTGTGGTGCTGGCTTTCTTTTCAGTCAGACAGATCAGAGCTGTGATCGAGCTCGCCATATGTGATCTCAGAGTAGTTATGTTGGCACAGTGGCTGAGGTGGCTCGATACTGAAGATATAGAGCAGAGCCTTGGCGAGAGAAGTACATTTGCTTAAACATTTACTTTAAAGTCTGAAACTCCTAATTGATGTCAACTGATTATGCATCTGGTCCATTCAAAAATTTGAAGGACGTGACTATTTTCAGACTAGCTGACACTAGATGGAAGCCAGACTTTGCTGAATTCTTTAAATCCTTCAGCTGTTGAAATAACGAGCCTTACTGTTTTGTCTAATTCAGGTTAAAGAACTGGTTTAGAAATCTCTGTAACCGTTACTTGGTAGAAATGTTCTAACTGCAGTATAGTTTTTTCATTAGTGTCTAGGAGACGCAATACGCCCGAAATCTTAAAAAGTAAGCCGCAGATCCATCTAGCAAAAGTATTAATAAAAACTTACTATTCTGGTTCATATATTTAAGTGGCAACTCAACTAAACCATTCAGCTGATGTTGCATAATGCTTCCGTTTATTTATCAGACTTCGGAGCAGTAGCAAATTGGTTAATATTCTTCTTAATGAAGCTTGATCTAATAACCTGCAAATAATTGTATCAAAAGTTAATGCATAATTTTCAATTTTTAGATTCAGAGCAAGCCAAAGCCACTTTTGTTTGTTGTGGAATGTTTTCAGTTTCTTTGCGGGAATGGGGAGGAGGAGAACTCAACAAAAAGTTCTCTGACCTGGTGCTGTTTGCTTTTGAGCAGTGTTGCTCATCTGTGCTTACTCCTCTTAGTTTCAGTTTGTCTCCTTTTGAAGGAGCATGAGCTGCACCCCTACCTCAGAAATTGACATGGACCTTTTTTCAGAAAACTGTCATCGTTCCTCCCCTCCACCCCTCCACCTTCCAAACTAACTTTGCGTAAATTCCACACATATAATCTGTTGGCAAGCGTGCTCTCTAACGGTTGGTTTGTGTGTTAAAGTTGAAGGTTAAAATGCTGTAATAGGCCCAGCTGTCTTGTTTAAAGTATGATGTTTTTGCTGCAAAGATGGTCTGTGCAGTGAGAAAATAGTGCATGTTAGATGATGGTGCAGACAAGTTGTTGGTAGTTCTTTAATTGCTTAAGTATCGTATCATCTATAAAGATAAGTATAGTCAGAGAGGCTCATATGCAGCCAGTTTACGAGGGAATTACTACTTCTTTAAATCACTCCAGGCTTTTATGGAAATCTGATCCTGCTGCTGAATCAACCTGAAGCAAGACTCCTTGTACGGATTCTTTTGTTCCCATTTTTCACATGGTTTTGTCAACTTTGTGCTCCACTGGTAAACAGACTTGAACAAAATCTGGGCATAGATGATACGGTAGGGATCGGAAATTCTAACCCAAGATTCTATCAGGAAGACTGATTATATGTGTATTAAAGCATCTTGAGAGGAAGAATGATACTTTAGTATCTCTTTCAGGTATAAAATTAGTGACTGCAATTGCCTTTAGAAGCAAAATATATTTAGCTGTTGTAATAATATGTTTACAGAGATTTGAGTCACATTTGAAATTTCTTCTAGTGTTATTGTGTTCATTCTCTGGATAAATTTTCTTTTTGTGACAAGAGTAATATAATCCTTTGGGGAAAAAAAATCTGGAGAAAACGTTATCTAAGGATCAACTCTACCTCAGAAGAAACTGAAGAAATGTACAATTGGCTTTCTTGAGAAAAGCTTATTAAACTTAGGGACTTTAAGGAACATTTTTTAGAGATCTGGGCCATTTCAGAAATATACTGATATTTTGAGGGGGAAAACTTCCCTATATCAACTTAATATGGGGTTAATTAAGGTTAAATGCTATATGGATCAAAGTGCTTCTAATTTCTAATAATTCTGACATAGCTTCCAGGGAAGCAAGGAACTGTGTGGAAGCTCTGTCTATAGGTAGTGGGGTACATAAACCTAGTGCCTATTGATTTAGTAACTGTGTTTTATTCATAACTATTCATGAGGAATCTTGTTGGTTCCAAATGGGAGGTTTAATGCACACTGAGGGCACTTGGTAGTGCCGAGTTTTAATACTGTTAAGTGTCTTCAGAAAGGTATTCTTGCGTCAGCCTCAGATTAACATGGGATGAATAACAGAGCAATTCATCAACTAGGCAGCTCTGAAGAGTGTCAGCAAGAAAGCTGACGATGATGAATTGGAGAGAAATGGATGCTGTGGTAGATAGCCACTAACAGCTAACGCTGGAGTGTTGAGGGATGGCAGTTGGTATTTAGGTGTATGCTGGGTAATTAAGTGAGGAGGGACTGCACTCCTTTGCTTGGCGGAGTAGGAAAGAAACACATCCCTTCTACAGTTCGAGAAGGTTACTAAATTCAACAGTCTAAAATGACAGATGGACAAAAGATTTGCATCAGTCTTTACTACTGATAAATGTGAGTTACGTTTTGAAGACAGGCTGCTGACCTTCCCTTGATGTTTGCAATCTCAGCAAACTCAATTGGCAATAAAAATTTGGATAAGTTAACTTTGAGGCAAATTTAGTTTATTCTGAACTTAATTTTGCTTCAAGTTTTGCAGTAACCTTTCTTAGGTCTCACAGCTTTCAGTTACTTTCAGTTACTGAGTACTTTCAGTTTTAAACTTGAGGGGGGGTTAAACCAGAAATAAAATTGCCTTTGTTTTTTTTGCTTCTGTCAACATAATAGCATAACGAAGTGTTCTTTGTCACGTGTATAGGTCTTTCTAATCCTATTTAATATGGTTTGTGCTAGAATTGTTTTTGAGTACTCGTTGTTGTATGAAAGTGTTGAACACTCAATACATGGAGAACAGTTTAAACTAGTAACAATCAAGTTCTTTACTTTGGGTGGGCTGTTTGTATGGATTTTTTCTGACTGTTTAGTTACTGTAGGTAACTAAACCTACATGTGCAGGCGAAA